TGTAACTCGAGGTGTTTTACTCATTTAAAAATAGGTTTTTCATCTGTGTCTAATTGTGATCGGATAAAAGATGTAAATTAGTTTTGAATCGGCCCTTAGGCATATTTTACTGACATCGTTAGATTATCAGAATCTTCTGTCGACTTTAAAGATGTGAAAATTTTCAAAGATTTCACTATTCACGTTTGACCCCATTTTTCAAAAAGTTCATTTTTTGTCAAACTCATTTTCAACCTCACATATTATAGAACTACAATTTTATCAATTTAACTGTTAGAATTTGGATGTAACCCAAATTTCTTGTTGAAATAATTAAAGAATTTTAATTGAAGTACACGTCAATAAGAATTCAATTTGGAATGCTATTGGAATCCTATGTCTATTTGAAGTTCTATTTTGGATGCCCATTGGAAATTGAAAATTAGTATTGGACTTGAAAAATAATTTGGATGGAGAAAATAATTTGAAAAAAAAAATTCTGGCAGACAGCCTGGCGCTGCGGAAGTGGGCTCCGCGCGCCACCTTTTTTTTTTTTTAGGAAATATCCTAACTTGAAAATCCAAACCTTAGGATATTACTATTATTAAAATGAAATCAAATATAATGCAAGGAGGGGGACTGATGTACCTTACCTCCAACAGAATTACAAAAGCACCTACCAACTACCGAATGAATGTGCACTATACTTAGTCTATTACAAAATACAACTAGTCTCCAAATACAAAAGAAAATCAGTTAAAAGACTAGCTAGGAACTAATCTAATGGCCTCTACACCAATTCTATCAAGTCTAACAATTCCTTTTATCCTTCCCTTAAATTCTCTAGCATCAATCCATTCAAACTTCCTATTTTTATAACCTTTAGCAGCAAACCAATCCGCCGCTTGATTACCTTCCCTCCAAACATGTGTGATTTTGTATTCCATGTTATCCATATACCTTCTAATGGCTTGTAATATGTATTGGACTTCCCAAGATCCCTTATCCTGCTTAATCAAATTGAGTGCCACCTGAGAGTCCGTTTCAATCCATACTTTCTTGATTCCATGTTTTAGACAAAGCTGCAGTCCCGTTTCAATAGCTCTGAGTTCTGCCTCCACAATAGAACACTCTCCATAGTATTCATAGAATCCCCACATTGCAGTTCCCTTATTATTCCTCAAGATCCCTCCACCTGAAGCTTCAGAATTCTGTTTCAGAGCCCCGTCAGTATTCAGTTTATGCCACCCTATATCTGGTTTATTCCACTTCACTGATGTAGGTTTAAGACACTTGCTTCTTCCTTCCTGTTTGATCTTCCCTGCCCTGTAAAGAGCATCAATCAGTACATTAACCTGTTTAATAATCCTATCTGCCTTGACAGGAAATCTTTTGTGCTTTGAGTTATTTCTGGCAGACCAGATAAACCAGGTAATAGCCAACGGAACTATAATTCGGACCTCTCCAATGCTTGTGTTCTTCTGGAGAAACCAGTGTATTAGCATCGTCCTAGGATGATCACTTCTGATATGTTGGATCTTCATAGTCTAACAGAAATACCCCCAGATTTCCTTAGCAATTCGGCCTTCCACAAAGACATGCCTAATGCTTTCAGAGTCGTTGCAACATTGGCATTTGGATGCTAATTGTATACCGTATTTATGCTGAATAATATCATCTACAGGTAACCAGTTGTGCCATATCCTCCACCCAAGAAAAGCAATTTTTTGGGGAATATTCTTATTCCATATATGATCATATGCCATTTGTCTAGTCTTGCTCTGCCTGAAAAGATTTATACAAGACGAAATAGTGAAAATACCTGATGTATTAGGCTTCCAGAACATCTTATCTGGGTTATTAGTGATAGGGATTTTCCTGATTTCATTCACAACCTCAGCTTGAGTAGTAATATTCAGATTAGTAATATCCCATTCATTATTATTCCTAAACTCCTTTACAAGCTTATTATACGGGATATCCTGTAATAACCTGCCTTGAATATTCCCTGACTTAAGCCATGTGTCATATTGAAAGTTTACCTTGCCTTCGCCAATTCTCCAGGCAATTTGTGGTTCAACTAAACTTCTGGCTTTCAGCATCCTTTTCCACAACCCAGAGTCTTGAATTCTGTAATTAACAGTGCACGCGTGACTAAGTCTGCAATATTTAGCTTGCAGAACTTGACTCCATAAAGATCTTTGTTCCCTAAATTTCCACCAGAGTTTACAGTCGTAGGCGAGATTCAGATCAGCAATGGAGTTGCAACCAATACCACCTTCTGCCATTGGATAACAGACTTTATCCCATGATGTCCAGTGTATTTTTTTACTTTGACTAGAATCGCCCCAGATAAATCCATTAAATAAAATGGAGATTTTGCTAATGATGCTTTTAGGGGGATCAAGGATTTGTAAAAGATGTACAGGCATCGAGCTCAGAACATTAATCAGAGTTAGTCTACCTCCAGCTGATAACCATCTATGCTCCCATCCCAGTAATCGTCTTTTGATTTTGTCAATTAACTTCTCAAACAGCTCAGTCTTCTTATGTCCTTTATATAGAGGCACTCCTAGGTAAATCATAGGTAGAGGCTGAAATTGAAACCCTGTATTCTCAGCAATCACAATTTTATGATTATTCTTTTTCGTGTTAAACGAACTTTTATTGCAATTAATGGCTTGTCCTGATCTTGCAGTATACAGACTGAGGAAACTCATGATTTTATTCACAGCCTGCTTTTGACCATTAGCAAAGATAATGATATCATCAGCAAACGCCAAATGAGAAACAGGTATGGAACCCCCATATCTATAATGCAACTCTTCATTTCTAGCAAATAGATTCTCCAATCCTCTTGACAAACATTCTGCCATAATGATGAATAATGAGGGAGATTTTGTATCACCTTGTCTCAGTCCTCTAGACGATTTAAAATATCCCTTGAGCTCGCCATTAATCAAGATGGAGAAGTAACAGTTGTTAATGCTTCTTCTTATTTTATCAACCCAACCTTGATTGAATCCAAACTTTTCCATAACTTTATACAGAAATTCCCAATCGACCCTATCGTACGCCTTGGCCATATCTAGCTTAAGCACCACAATGCCTCCTTTGACCTTTCAGTCAATGTAATGAATCAGATCTAGTGACAACAGTATGTTATCTCCAATATCCCTCCCCGGAGTGAAACCACTTTGAGTCTTGGATATTATTTTAGGCAGAATTTTGTTGAGCCTTGCAGATAGAACCTTTGTTAGTATTTTGTTTATCACATTACATAAACTAATAGGTCTGAAATCTTTCCACTCCATAGCCTCAGCTTTTTTAGGAATAAGGGTGATAGAGGTTGATGTTATACTTTTGGGAATAATTCTACCATTAAAGAAATCCATAACTGCGTCTAGAAGGTCCTGTTTAATGATTTCCCAGCAATGTTGATAGAATAGGCTTGAAAAGCCATCAGGACCAGCTGCACTCTCCTTTTTTATACTGAAGATAGCCTCCTTTATTTCTTCCATGTCAGGTATTCTATTAAGCATATCATTCTCTTCCCTTCCCACAATTTCAGGAATATTATCAAGTAAGCTATCCTCTCCCTCAGTAGGTTCTCTAGTGAGAATATTTTCGAAATACTCCACAGCAGACTGTTGGATATCACTAGCCTCCTTCAGTTCGACCCCATTACTCATTATCAAATTGATACTATTTTTCGTCCATTTTTTCCTGACCCAAGCATGAAAGAATTTGGAATTTTTATCTCCTTCATTCAACCATTTTATCCCTGATTTCTGTTTCCAGAATGCTTCTTCCATGGAAAGCAATTTATTGAGTTTCACATATGCCTCATTAACAGCCATTCTATCATTGGGGGCTTTCGACCTGTCATACTCCCTCTCTTTCTTCAGTGCTTCCTCTTCAGCCTTCGCTATATCAACAAATATATTACCAAAAGAATCTTTATTCCATTTGGTAAGCGTCTTCTTCAGTCTTTTTAGTTTAAAATAAAATCCATACAACCCTCTAGAATAAGGGCAAAGTGGAGTCTCCCAGCATCTTCTAATGATATCCAGAAGGTCATTGTGTTGACACCACATAGCTTGGAATCGAAAAGAGGATTTAACCCTTACTTGTTGCTTCTTACATTTCAGCAGGAGAGGGCAGTGATCTGATGTATCTCTGTTTAACATGTCAGCCTCAAATCCATTGAATTCATTCATCCAATGTGCATTAATTAGAATTCTATCCAACTTCTCCCAGATCCTACCATTAGTCCATGTATATTTGCTGCCTCTAATGACATGCTCCTCAACACCACAGTCAATCATCATGTTATTGAAGTCCTCCATCGACATTCGATTTGGCGAATATCCTCCATCCTTTTCACCACTATTGAGTATAGCATAAAAGTCTCCTACAATAATCCAGGGAGAGTCCATTCTCTCAGAGAATTGCTTGAGATCATTCCATAATATTCTCCTAAGCGTAACAGAACATTTAGCATAAACTGCAGTAAAATATATATCCTTATCCTGCTTCTTTATTTCAAAAGTCATATCTTGTTCCTTGTCTTCCATAACATTGCCATCAATGTCACTCTTCCAGAATCCCCAGATTTTACCGTTCATGTTAGCATAACTTTTATCGAATCCCAGTTTTTTGCAAAACTCTTGAATTTGCCCCTTATCGTTGATCGGTTCAATAACAAACAATATAGCAATATGATGTATTTGAATCATCTTTCTAAGTCTCTTCAAGGAGTTAGATATACCTCTTAAATTCCAAATTAACGCGTTGTACTGCATAGTTATCTTTTGGATGGTCTTCCTCTTCTTTTCTTGTTACTCTTCGAAGATTTCTTCCCTTCCTTTGGCATTTTTTCATTCGTGGCACTTCGAGTTTCAACTGAAAGCAGTTCATCCTCCATATCTGTTTCTTCCCCTTCTCTCTGTTCTAAATCAACAGACTTCTGTTTACTCGACTTCTTGCAGTTGGGGGAGCTACTGATTTTACTGAGGCTTTCTTCATCTAGTTCCACTTGATTTATTTCTAAATCCTCCTTTGATCTTTGATTGTTATCCTCCTCCATAATGAATTCTTTA